CCGGGGTCAGCCGGGACCGGCCTGGGACCGGCCCGGGACCGGCCGGGGTCAGCCGGGATCGGCCCGGGACCGGCCCGGGACCGGCCGGGGTCAGCTGGGGTTAGCCGGGATCGGCCCGGGATCGGCCGGGGTCAGCCGGGATCGGCCTGGGACCGGCCCGGGACCGGCCGGGGTTAGCCGGGATCGGCCCGGGACCGGCCGGGGTCAGCCGGGATCGGCTGGGTTCAACCTGGGACCGGCCCGGGATCAGGCAGGGTCAGCGTGGAATCAACCGGGACCAACCCGGGACAACCCGCCTGGCCCGCCACCCCCCGGTCCCGATCCCTGTGATCCCGACCCTGCTCCCTCTGATCCCACTGATCCCGGTGCCGGTGGTCCCGGTGCCGGTGCCGGTGGTCCCGGTGCCGGTGGTCCCGGTGCCGGTGGTCCCGGTGCCGGTGCCGGTGGTCCCGGTGCCGGTGGTCCCGGTGCCGGTGGTCCCGGTGCCGGTGCCGGTGGTCCCGGCGCCGCTCACCGCCACGCCGTAGTGCCCGGGGGGCGCGATGTAGGTGACGGTGCCGCGGCTGCGGGGCGGGACCATCAGCCGGTGCTGCAGCAGCGAATTCTCCGCCACCGAGCCGTAGATGTCCCCGCCCGTTACGTGGCTCCCGACCTGGCGACACGGCGGCGACACCGTCAGCGACCCCCGGAGGGCTCCGCGCCCACCGCCCCTGTCCCGCCATGTCCCCCCACGTCCCCCGTGTCCCCACGGCCCGGCCACTTTCGTGTCCTCGCGGCCCTGCATCATCACTGGCCCTGTGTCCCCCAGTGTCCCCGTGTGCCCGTGTCCCTGTGTCCCCCAATGTCCCCGCGACTCCGTGTCCCGATGTCCCCGTGTCCCCGTGTCCCGATGTCCCCGTGTCCCGATGTCCCCGTGTCCCCACGTCCCCCCCATTCCCCTGTCCTCTGTGTCCCCGCTGTCCCCAACCTTTTTTGGGGTCCCCTCCTGGGCAGGGGGCACAGGGAGGGGACAGGGGAGGGGACAGGGGAGGGGACAATGGAGGTGATGTCCCTTGGCAGGGACAGGACGGGGCTGGGGGGGACAAAAGGGGACAGGGCAGGATAAGGGGGGACAGGGAGGGGACAGGGGATGGCAGGACAGGACGGGGACAGGGAGGGGACAGGGAGGAACAGGGGAAGGCAGGACAGGACGGGGACAGGGAGGGGACAGGGGA